GCGGTTGTTGTGGTGGGTTTTTCTGTGGTTGTGGTACCAGGAGTGCTGGGCTTTTCTGTGATCGTGGTTGTAGTGGACCGTCCTGTGGTTGGTGTTGTTGACGGGATAATTGTGGTTGAAACCGTACAATGGTTAACGCAACATTTGACTCGTATTTCATAGTCATAACAAACAGGAGGTATACCTTGGTCTTTGTTATGACAAGTCAGTCCAACTGCTGGATCACATGTTACTTTTTGACCAAGGTCATTCAATGATACATCTTTGAGTTGTTTTGCTCTACATTCTATTTCCAAAGGTTTTCTACAAACATTCAGGTCTGGATCAGTAATTTTATCAATGGGTTCATACTCTCCACCATCTATGTTTGTGTCAGGGTAATGATTGCTCATCCAATCTGACCACTTACAAACAATGCAGTTAGCATGTGTTGTAGTGGATATTTCTGAGGTTGTTGCACCAGTAGTGCTGGGCTTTTCTGTTGGTACTGTGGTAGGTTTTTCTGTGATTGCGGTTGTAATAGCAGTTGTTATGGGATTTTGTGTGGTTGTTGTTATTCCCTGTTCTGTTGTTGTAGGTTCTTTGGTGACTGTGGTTGTTGTGGGTCCTTCTGTGATTGTCAAAAATAAAAGAAAGAAAAAAAGACTTAGTAATCAAGTTCTCTTTAAAATGGTACAAATCCACACCTTCCACACCTATGCTGTGAATTTTTTAAAGACTCCTATTCTTACCACTTGTGTCAAAATGAAAGACTGTTGTTGTTGGTGTCTGGGTGGGTGCAGTTGTAGAGCAAGCCTCTATGGTTCTGGAAATATTTCCATTTTCTCCACAAACAGCAGTCATACAGGTTCCATCTCCATCATGTGTGTTATAGATTGTATCTCCATACTTGTATGTAAGTCCTTTATATGAACAAGTGCAAGCTGCAACATAAATAATTACATAAGAATTAAGAATGTATTATACCAATAGAAATAATTTGTATAGGGCTGCCCCCAAAAAGTCGATGATTCAAGTCATCAGTCTAGATCAGTCAAACATTGACTCTTCTGGTGACAGGGTTGTTTGAAGCCCGGCAGGTAAGACACTCAGTGGTGTGGTCAGATTTTAAAATTGATCTATGACTGTATGGAACCTTTTTACATTACAAATACAGACACAGGAGTTTAATGCTGAACTAAAAAAAGAAAGAAAAGAATAGTCACTTTTTTGTATTGAACAGCCAAACCCAATTCAAATGACACAATTCTGAGTTGGGCATTGCCCTCAGTCTGTATGATATTATCTGTTTTCTTAGTGACAACAAATAAACACAGTAATAGTCATAACCACACTCACCTTGGACATTATAGCTGCACTCAATTTTTGTTGAAGAACAATTACTAAAAGGTAAATGAAAGAAGAAAGAAGGTTAAACACATGAACATATAGGAGACAAACCTGATGTTTGCACACGGTGCAGAACTCCAGGGGTGCGCATAGGTTATTTTCTTCACTGTGCTGCTATGTGCTGTGTACTCCAATGGGAGCAGAGGTGCAGTGATAAATCCAGTAGCAAATTGCAATTTTAGTGCAATGAATGAGCTCCGGTGCCAATCTGCTAAGGTTGACAGCTCAGCTTTTATTCCAGAATATTTTGGTCACACCCATAAACACTAAAAGCTCTTTTTTTCATGTTTTTCTTTTCATGTGATTGGGCCAGAAAGAGAGAATATTTAATTATTGTTAGAAAATTAGTGATTAGCATCTGTCATCCACAATAGGTAGTAACCCGTTAACTGTACACTAGTGACTGAAGGCAGTCTGTAACTTTTCCACAAGCACCACTGAAACCTCTGTGCTTATGTGAACATCAGCATTGTCCTAATTAATTATTCAGCACATTTTCTACTGCAGTGGACATCAACAGGCCTGTTGGATGCATGAAAACAGTTCACATCCTTCCATGAAAAATCATAGATAAATAACAAACTGGACAAACTGTGATCCGTGATATGCAGCATGATTCACAGAATTAGAGCCCCTGTGTCATTTATTATTTTCACAATTACCTTTATTTACCAAAATAATATATTCTGCATAAGGATTGCTAATGCTGCAATAAAATGGTTTTCATTTTATATTATAGTTAAACAACATGATTGTATATTAGAATACATGATTTCATTATATCATCTTTGTAAAAACATTAAAAAGGTGACCACTAACTTCTGCACCAACTGAAACATCAAGATAAATCAAGATATAAAGTGTCCTACCAGGTGTGACAGTTTTTCTTTGGAGGTATGACCTCCCCTTCTTTGTAATGCTTTCCTTCGTCATCATAGCAACCGCATTCCTCTTCTGACACACACTTCATGGTAGCTTCTTCCAAATAAGATTGTTCAGGTGGACATCTTGGATAGCAGCCTTACAAACAAAAAGTCATTAACACGACAGTTAGCACAACTGTGCTTAACCAATAGGCTTTGGTACAAAAAAAGCATGCATGGTCAATCAACTCTCCCTAAATCATTCTAACCTTAAAAATACATACACTACTTTTATTTCATTTGTACCTTCTAATGCTGGAATTTTATTGTAGCATATCCCTGAGGGATTCCTGCATGTCTTCATGCATGGTTTTCCACAGGACTCATAGTGCCATTCACACTCTCCATCAGGGTTGTAAAAATCACAGAACAGAGCTATTGAGACAAAAGAAAGGAATATTAACAAGATACAAGAAAAGATCACATTGGTACATCTATAATTAAATGACAAAGGTGGTGCTGCTGACAGATGATGATTATGAACATGCATTAAATGTTTGTTTATTTCCTTTCATAAACACTCACGGCAGATTGTGGGAGTTCTCCATTTCACACAGGCTCCAGCCTTGTTACAGGCTGCTGCGTAGGCAGCTACAGCCGAGCAGAAACACTCACAATCTCCTCCTGTATTGCAAGAACATGTGTCTTCCACGCAGGCATCGTGATAGTTTTTTGGATCCACCTTTTTGAGGCAGAAGAGGCTGAATTATGTTCCGCTAGCTAATTATATAGAAAGTTATTGTGTAGCCATTGTTCTGCAGTTTCCTTACCTTTGAATGGCAACCTGCAAATACTTCACTGGTGATAATGCTGCAGTGTTTTAATGCCCATGCCTGCCTGTGTGAGTACAGACTGCAGGGATTTTTTAGTGCGTTTGCATTAGGGCAGGTATGTGACACTTTCCAGCTGTTTCCAAACTCAAGGGCTTTAACCACAACTTCTTTGTTTCTGGTGGTGAAATCGTTCTTGATATTCCCATCATAATTCCCACACAGGCCGCAGACTTTTCCCTGGAATAAAATGAGATCTAATTTATTTGTAAAAAGGCAACCAACCGTATTAACGTTTACCTGAATACCCATGTATCTGCTCACCCACCTTGAATGTGGAGCTGAGTTTGATCATGAGTGTTGTCTTCTTATTCCAAATGAGAACAAGACCATTCTTTGCCTCAATGACCAGATATATACCCATAGTGTGAACCTTATAGGGTATTTCCACCCCTTTGCTTTGGTTCATAACTCTGATATTTTCCTCAGAAAGAATAATTTCATTGTTCTGAAAAAAACAAAACATGCTCATGTAAAAGTTAAATTCAGCATTTTAGAAAATATTTTAAATCCATGTAATGTAGTGTTATGTACCCCCAAGTACAGCTTGATAGCAGTGGAGCAGATGCTCCCAGTTGTTCCACATGGGATGCTCTCCGTCAGGACCCTGAAGGTGCCATTCATATCATCCCCACAGTAATCCTGCAAAGTGTTGATGTCAGTATCACAAGACTGAAGCTTTTGACAAATCACAAAAACTAAACATAGGTTTGTGCTATACCTGAGTGAAGACGTAGCCACAGTCGCCATGAAAGGAGAATCTCTTTTCGTCAAAAGTGATGTAGTGCCCTTCTCCATATATGGTACAGGTTCCATCACACTCATTATCTGTACATTCCCATTTACTGCTTTTGCAAGTGCTATGATTTAAATAGATGAAGTAATGTCAAGTTATATATCTCCAATTTAAATAGGGAACTGATACAGCATTACATTGGAAACGATTAAAGGGCTTACCAGTTATTGCAGTGTACAGTGATCGTCTGTCCAGAATTATAGTATTCACCACCATATGGGCAGGGACAGTCCTCCTCCTTTATACAGCCTCCTTTACCATCTGACAGCAGGTCATCAGGACATACACAGCCTGAGATACACTGTGTACTGACCTATACAGTGTAACAGAAAGTTATTGAACATGTCATCCTGTTACTTTGGTAAACAAGTGTTAAATATCCATCAACAGTCATGAACCAGTGTCTCAATCTTACGCATGCTTTGTCCAGTGTCTGGCAGCTCCTTTGGCACTCTGATCCCTTCACACCTGGCTTTGCACTTGAGCAGTTGAAGAAAACCATTGGATCGGTGCAGGCTGATGACAATGATAATGTTACAAAGGTGTTGCTCATACCGTACTTTTCTATGGAAGGAATACTATGACTTTATACCTACATTCACTTATGTGGCTTCCTGTACAGCTTAATGTTCCACTGTGACAAGAGCTGAAAGGCACAGAAAAGGGGCAATAAGAAATAAGAAAGAGAAATGCATTTTGTTGTTAATTTCTTAAAAGTGTCCGCCCAATTTATTTTACAAAAACTAAGATAGTGGTTCCCGACTGGTCTAGCCTTTAGACCTTGTCCTTTAATCATTGTCTACACACAGAGGCTAAATGAACAGCAATTACTTTTTGTGTCCATCGGTCTTTTCTCTGAATGGAGAGGATTGCAGGGAGCTAGAGACTATCTTAGCACATAATGAGAAAAAAACTGTGTACCTGACAGGAAGTTTAGTTTTGGGCTTGGAGATTAATCCAAAGCCTTAACAGAAAACCCACGCAAACAAGAATTCCAACCCACGACCTTCTTGCTGCCCACTGAACCACTATGCCAAAAATAAGTGCAAGTGCAAATTGAGCCAACTAAATAAGAACTAAATAAGAAGCATTGCAACAAGAAGGGCAATTATGGTTTAAAAACCAACAACATTAAAACCACTTCATCAGCAATTACAACAAATGCAGCCTTTCCAAACTGTTTTTACAGCATAATGTGTCAATAGGCCTAATAATAAGAAAAGAGCTTAACATATTCCTTGTCATAACTCTGTTAAGCAGTTAAGTCCACCCGTAACCTCCTTCACCAGCCCCGCTCAAGACTCCGCACCATGGGAGACCGAGCCTTCTGCTCCGCTGCCCCTCACATCTGGAACTCCCTCCCTGAACATCTGCGAAAACCCCAGTCTGTGGACACTTTTAAAAAGGCTTAAAACTTTTTTGTTCAGGCTGGCGTTCTTAAGTTGTCCTTAGATTTACTCACTTGTATTTTTTTATTTTTTACTGATTTTAATGTGTTCTTACCCTTAGTGTCCTCTTCTGTTATTGTTGTTTTGGTTTCTGTAGCACTTTGAGATTTTCTTATAAAAAGTGCTTTTACAAATAAAATGTATATTATTATTATTATATTATTATTATTTATGATGATATATTTTATGAGGCACAGACTGCCAGGATTGCTCCTAGAAACCCCGTGTATTGATGGTGTTCAGGAGAGCCCGACTGATATATTGGTCTTAAAAATCGGGCTCTACTTTAAAGTATGTGAGAAATTATTTAATTGATTAATAATGAATCTTACTGCTAAATCTGTTTTTACAAATGCTGGTTTGTGTGTGGGGTAATGTGCACATCAAATACACGTGGTGCCTCTTTCACTGTATTATTAACCTGTAAGTAGTACTGCAGGTTGTCGATCAAGAACGCCATGTGGTTGCGCAGTCTCCACTTGACAGCGTCGGTCTGGCTGGACTTGAGGTGTTTCCTCTGCATCTGTAGAGCCCAGCAGTGCTGCAGCTGCGACTGCACCCGCCGAACACTCAGCAGGTACCTGAACACAACGTTGTACCTGACCACAGAGAGAAGTAACAAACAGGAGAGGATGCTCACCAGCTGCACAAACACACATCAATCAATTCTACCATAGGGAGCCAAACGAGTACACACTTCTCCAAGACAGCAGGAGTGAAGAGGATGTGCAGCGGCCACTGGACCTTGTAGGTGAGACCGAGAGCCGCCCAACCTGTGGGAGGGACCTCACGAGGGGAGGTGTCTTGTGGAGGAGTGGCTCCTTCTCTGGGGCCTGTCGCCTCTGAGAAAACGGGCACATTAACAGTTAACGAAACTGAATCAGTCAAAATGACAGCGATAAGGAGAATGAGCACTCAGGATGAATTCTGTGCCTCACTGGGCTGAGTCTGATGATCATCTTCCACGGTGTGTGTGTGTGTGTGGAGAATTCACCACCTGAAGGCTTTGGTTTTATCCTGTAATGATTGGTGACTGACCTGAAGCATGCTGTAATACAAACTGATCTCACTTGAGCACATAAGCTGCAACGTAGTGTGCATTATGTTTGAAATAGGGCTGCAAATGATTACTTCCATTATCAATGAATCAGTCCATTATTTTTTAAAAGGTAACTCATACATAGTTTAGTCCATAAAATGCCCCTCACTGTTCCGCTGAGCCATTGTGTTTTGTCTGACCAACAGTCCAAAAACAATAAACAAAACAACAAATTCTCAAATTTGAGAAGGAACAGAAAATACTCTGCATTTCTGCTTAAAAAATTAGTTATACAAATATCAAAATTGTTCAAATAATTGTTTCAACAAAAGTTGGAAGTCTTGGCGAGAGGTCAGAATGTTTTCAAGCAGCAGTTTAGTTAAAAAAAGAAGATGGGTACTGACACCTCGTTGTGAGATTGGGTTAGTGTGTAGATAAGAGCTGCTCTTTTAACCACTGGATGGCGCTAAACATCAAATAAAGGAGAGCATCATCTCAAAGTAAAAAGGTTTGTGTTTGTATTCACATCATCCAGATGGTTTCCTCCTTCACTTTGACTCAAATACCATGAACTTACAGTATGCGATGGTCAGCAGCTCACCTTTGCCGTCTTTGCCCTGGTAGTCTACAGTGAGGTGCAGCAGAGGCAGGAGGTTGTCGTCGTCCAACAGCACCTTATGAGCCGCCTGCTGAAAGGCCACGTTTACATCTGTGGAGGAGTAAACAAGTATCTGTAACTACTGAGCAATACAGTGTGCGGGGGGGCGACTCCACAGAGCTTTGGGTTTGCATATTGAAATTTACCGTGCTCAGTGACGGCAGTCGGAGGAGTCTTGAGCATGTGCTGCGCAAGGTCAATAAAAACCTGGTAGAGCTCGCCACGACCCAGTAAATAAAAGTCCTTAATGATCTGGAAGAAAGTAGAAACGTCAACACTGTTCCTAGGTTATTATAGTTAACTAAAACCAAACTAAAAAATAAAACTAGGTGTGAAAAAGGAGGCATTGGTGTTTATATTTATTGAGAATATAAAATATAAAAATAAAAACAAATAAAAAATACAAAACTATAATAACTATGCACTTCTCATTTTGCACCTATTTATGATCCGGAACTGAGTGTGATTAATACAAACCTTGAGCTGTTCGAGCAGATCTGACTCCTCCACCATCAGCGTCCAGAGATGCTGCAGGTCAGGAAGACATTTTGATTCAGTCACAATGAGCGTGGTAGCTTACGTTGAATTTTCTTCTTTAGTTGAAAGAAGACAATAATGCGAGTAGTAAATGAGCTCACCTCTGCCACTGTGCTCCTGATGCGATCAATCAAATTTTCAAAATCCACCAGGCTGAACAGAGGTTGCTGTTTGAGTCTGTGCAGGTCTGCAGCAAACAGGTCCTCCTGGTGCTTCAGTATGGAGCCTGAAACAACAATAATGGGTTTTATTCTCTTAGAGATATAAAGGCAGCGATCAGATTATGCTAGTACACAGCGTAGATCATAGCAGGATGGACTACCAGCTCTGGATGGGCTGTGGTTGTGATTTTCAAACATCTGGACAGATTCTCCAACAAAGAGGATCTTCTCAGCCACTCTGATGGGAATGTAAGAGGGAAGCATCTCGGTTCGCAGGGAGAACTGCTGCAGGGACGGAGCCAACATGTTCTCCTCCTCGATGAGCCTCTGCACCACAACACAGACATAATCAAGTTCAAACGTACACACGGGCCTCTTGTTGTTGGGTGGGGGCCTGTTTGTCTGACTGTAGTTCTCACCAGGTCTTGGAGTTCTCTGAGCTGTTTCCCGCTCAAACCTCCCAACCCCAGGTCCTCCTCATCCTCCTCCTGGTTGGCAGCAGCTCCTCCGGCACTGGGCCCCTGCTTCACGAAGAACTCCTCGCTTTGGTCCAGCAGCAGTCCGTGCAGCATCCAAGCTGCTAGCTGCTTGTACATCACGCCGTGGCACACAGCAAGAATCCTGCAGAATGCATAAAACACACACGCACGCACACACACACACACACACACACACACACACACACACAGAAAATGTTTTTATAGCAAATCATAAGAAAACACGACAACACTACAAAGTCATTTTCTAAAACATAGGAATAAATCATCACTATATTTAAGAGTTTAACAGTGGAAAGACTAATAAAGATGATTTTGGTGAGTTTTATTTTGTTTCTTTACAGTTTAAGGTGTTTTACGATTATCAAGTAAAATTACTGGTTTTGTCAATGGAGTCAGTTTCTGTATGATGTTTATTAGACCTATGTAATCTGAATTGGAAGGGCACGTTGTCATGAGCTGTATCTTGTATATTTATTATTAGCTATGTGGTAATGAACCTTTATGTAATCTTGGTGGAAAAACATTCAAATTTAAAACAGGATCATTAACAAAACAAATATCATGGACTTAGCGTTGTTCCCGTGTAGTGCAAAAAGAGTGTAATCATCCTTTTTGATGGTGAAGGAAATGGCGACGCTACAGTGGGGCATCAACAAGTAAAATTTAGGCATAATGTGTTATAATTCCAAATAAGGAGATATGTTATGTTGTTAAGTTTGGTGTAAAAAGCCGACATATAATCGGTATATCGGAAATTGAGAGTTGGACAATAATCGGAGATTATCAGGCAGAGAAAAGCCAATATCGAAGCAATCCCTATTTAAAAATCCAATCATCTTAGAAATCATGTATATGAAACAGGGAGTGTACTCTGTGTTTTTATATTAAACGTAAAAGTACTAAAGCATATACTGCTCTATGGAGTACATATTACACCCCACAAGTGTAACACAACGTGAAACTATGGATTAAAGTCTTTCACCATAGAGATGAGCGGACTTACTTTCTAAGGCCATGGTAGCAAAAGTACAAGAGAGGGAAGCCCCAAAATGTGGCTTGTACACCGTCTCATGGATCTGGAACAGCCAAATGGATCTTAAAGCAGCACAACAAGACCAACATGGAAACAGACGTCGGGTTTCGTTCCTCTGGATTAGCAGATCTAGTTTAGAGTCATGATATCTTACAAGGAGGCTATCCACAGTGCTGAAAACTCAGCTTTTATCCCATTCATCAGGCTGACACATCACGGATGTCATTGCTTTCTGCTTCTGAAGAAATGTGGGAGTTTTCTTTTAAGAAATATGATCTTGGTGTCTTGATTCACAATGCATGTGTTGGTGTCGGCTGATATGGTGATAAAGGAGTCGGAGCATGCAACAAAGGGCTCTAGGTTTGCACTTCAATTGATTGCAGTTATATACACTGGTGACATGTTCCATCGAGTTAATACATTATAATTATTGGGGCTTTTCTTGTGAAAATTGGGGAGGACCTTTTCAAATTGTTCGTTTTAACAAATTATTCTTCTCATGTGCAGCAATTGGGCAATCACTGTCCTGAATTTAATTGTGGTGAAATACTACCATAAACAATCCTTACCTTCTGTGATTTATCGTCTCTACCACCACCATAACAGAATGAGAAACAGGCAAACTGGAATTTAAAGAAAAAAAGAACAGATAAGTTATAACTCTATAAAAGACTTTCCACTGTTGAGTATTGATTTTCAGATAGACAAACTGATCTCAAGAGAGGTTTTGATAATGCTTTACTGATGAGAGTATAATTCACATGAGATATTGTCAGATTGTGGATAAATCCAAGAGACTGAAACACACACAAAGTAAATGAGGCCAATAACGACACACTTCACATTTAAATTGTTGTGTGGCAGCGTCAATCATTATTACCTCTTGTTCGAGGTCCAAGGCAGGGCTGTCTGTACGGCTGCAGAATAGAGTCCGAGACTGTGCAGAAAGGCCCGCAAGTAAAATTCCATGGAAGTCCCGTCTGGCTGGGCTGGTTCGTTTGTGATGTAATCCGAGAGGACAAATTATGAGATAAATGCATTAATTTTTATTATTGGGAGAACTCTGTGTTAGGGGAAAGTGTAGGGCAGGTCTTTAACAAACATCTTGTAATACTTACAGGCCAAATATAGAACAGTAAAAATACAGGCTTTAATTAATTAATATTGACCTAAAAAATGTGTATTGTCATTTCACAACAGAAATGTTTACAGGTTAAAATCTTAAAATGGTTGTTATGTGATGTCTAGGGACTTTTTCTCACATTGTTTGGTGGCACATGGCGGTGGTGTTGTTCTATGAACTACTGTGGAAGCGGATGTAATCGGAGCCCAGTTTAATGAAGGGCCGGGTTGAGGAACACTGGTCTCAACTGGGGTGAAAGGAAGGGCAGGTTCCTGGGACAACCTGCAGATTGGAAACAAAGGTGTGCATTGTTCAAAAAGGAGAACACTGTGTTGGAACTTCTGATATAACAAAGGTATAACTATGGTTCACGAGCACAAATCATGCCTTTTTCTAGTCAAGTTTCACCACGTAGAATGTCAGTATTATGCCATAATTATTGTTAATTAATGCATAAAATCAAATATGTGTACCTTGCAATGTGAAATCAACATTTCTGTTTCTTGTAAGGAAATTTACTATTGTGGCAAGGTTTGTAAACCAACGTTGCATGTGTTATGTCTGGTGGAAAGAGGTTAGTAGAAAGTTCCCTAAATGAAAATATAACTATTATATCTGTAGTTGTGATGCTGTTACCCACTTCCTGGTGAATAAAATTTGAGTTTGAGATAGATTGTTTCACGATTCCTAACAACATATGCTAAGAAGGATAGAATAAGAGTACTGAGAGTACAGATGAATAGAACAACTTTTAAAAATTGTAAATAAAATAATTAGACGACAATTTGTAACCCGAATTTATATGCATATATGTTATATATTATTAATATATAACTTAATTCTTGAATTGCACACTTCATTTTCTTATACCTGGTTAATAAAATATATACTTCTAGCTTTAAAGAGGCAGATACATTGTAAACAGCAAGTGGGGCGCCTGGGAAACTGCTGTTTATTTGCATAATTGTGGCATGATTCCACCACAATGTATAAACTTAACTATGTCAACAAAGTCATACATCATTTTTAATATTTAACTGCAAAAAACAACACATACAACGTTTTAAAGGTAAAAACTGTCTCAGATATCAACATCATATATAATTATATATTAACTTGGTCAGAGCTTTGTTGTAACCCTGCAGACCTGTCCGTTGTTCGAAAAAACGGTGAAAAGGTCCCCAAAAAAACGCAAGCAGGAAGAGAGTGAATCATGTTAATTGTATGTAATTGATTTGCTAATTGATTGAAACCGATAAGTGCAGCACTGAGCTTCACGTTCAACGCACCAAAAACAAACCGGCCCGAGCCGTCGCAAGGTCCGGGTGACGCTAGCATAAGACACAAAGCATCACGGCAAAGCGACGGCGGTTGGCGCCAGCTAATTTCCTCTTCGTCATTTACGGGGTATTTTGTTTTTTTAAAACATCGACAAAAAGTGTAAAGTGGGCTTTTATTAAAAAAAAAACCTTCCTTGTTGCTTAATAAACTCCAAACGAGCTTTTACAAAGGTATGGTAAACAAAAAGCCAAGCGAAGTTAGCAACCTGTAGCTTGGCGACCTTGCTTCTGAAGGTAATGTAGTCCCGTCCCGCGCGGGGGGGAAAAAAGGCAAAAGCGACGTCGACCCCTGCGTCATCACCTCGGTC